TATTATTATATATATATATATATATATATATATATATATATATATATATATATATAATAAAAAATTTATTAGGTATTTCCAGTAGAGCTTATGAAAGGTCCAGAAGGTCTTGGTTTAAGTATTATTGGAATGGGTGTTGGTGCAGATGCAGGACTAGAAAAATTAGGTATATTTGTTAAAACAATCACAGAAAAAGGAGCAGCTGCACGAGAAGGCAGAATACAAGTAAATGATCAAATCGTTGAAGTGGATGGTAAATCTCTAGTTGGAGTCACACAAGCATATGCAGCTAGTGTTCTTCGTAATACTTCAGGACTCGTACGTTTTGTAATTGGTAGAGAACGTGATCCAAATTCAGAAGTAGCTATGCTAATTCGACAAAGTCTTCAAGCAGATAAAGAAGAGAACAAGCTAATTCTGCTAGGTATGAATCTATTGATTTAAAATATAATTCATATATTATTTAAAAATGACTTCTCTATGATGATTTATCCTTGCTCGCTAATGTCTATGACGAAAATTTATGGCCACTTCAATGATGGCTCGTAGCCTCTTGAAGGACTGAGAGAAATTAATTTTTAATAAATAAAAAACTTATCAAGTTATTTAAGAAGCTTTAAAATAAATATATTTTTTCAGAAAACTTAATTTCTCGGATGCTTCACCTGATAGTCAACGAGGCAGTGAAGATATTTCTGTTGGGGGTATAGGAGGAATACCAGGTTCTCCAGCTATGTCATCATGCTCGGAAGGGGAACCTCCTCAAAGTCCTATAGAAAATTATTTACCTTCTGGTCGCAGTAGATCTCCTATTATCAGTTCATCAATGCCACCACATACATCTGCTACAACGCAAAGCGATGTTGACAGTTTAAGATTGCTTTTACAAGAGGTAAAATATTTTTATCAACAAGATGAATGTATGAAGCATATATGTAATTTGCATAATTTTATGTATGTATAATTTAGTTATAGTAGCTTTCATTTAGAAGAATTTTTTATTTTTTTTTATAAATGTAGTTAATGAAAAATATATATTATAGTCTTATTATTTGAAAAAGATATTCTAAATTAAAAATATCATAAACTACATTTTATATTCATTTTTATTAATTTTATATAAAATATCGCATAAAATGCATTGTTATAAATTTATATAAAATTTATATTTATATGCATTATAATATTTTGTATATATATGTATATATATATATATATATGTTTATATTGCTATTTTTATATAAACGCTATATTATAAGCACTCCATCATAAGTTAAGTATGAATATATTTTGGTATTGCTTATGCACTGTGTTCGTTATTCACTGCTTGCAGAGTCAGTATAAACTAGCATTAGCAGATGGAGAGGTGGAAAAACTCAAAGCTAAGGTAATAGCATAAGATTTAAAATTTTATGTTATTTATTACGTATACTTATTTGTTGATGGAATATGCTTGTATATTATATACTTATAGTTATGAATTTGTGTGCAGCTTAATGTATGTATGTCGAATTTGTTATTATTTTATATAGCTTTTTTGTTCTATTATAAATAATATTAAAAAATATAAAATGATTTATTGAAAAACATTAAACTAATATGTTTTATTTATTTATATTAATACTTACACTAATATATTTATGTATTTATGTATTAATATATTTATGTATATTATTTATAATAAAATTTATTGAAAATTTTTTGTTTATAGCTTGTAGACTTAGAAAACAGTGGAGCTGGAAGCGAAGAATATGCAGCAAAATTGCGCGAATCTGGTTTACGACTTCACGAATCTGAAAGAGCTTTAGGCAGTGCTAGACAAGATTTAATAACTGCACGAGAAATGCTTTCTCAAGCAACAGCACAAAATGCTGCTTTACAACAAAAATATGCTCGAGCCAGAAGAGCAGCTCGCGAATTACGCACAGATATCGCTGCTAGAGATGAATTTTATCAACAATTACTACAGGAAAAAGATACAGAATATAATGCTCTTGTTAAAAGTTTAAAAGATAGGGTATGTTATCATTAAGGAATTAGAATAATTATATATAATAAAAAAATTAATTATAATAATTATAGGTAATTACATTGGAAGTAGAACTAACAGAAACACAACGGAGATTTGGATTACCAGTAAGATTGCCTTATGATGGAACTACGGCTAGAATTGTTACACCACAGTTGTCACGCCGACAGTTACCTCCCCCTCCTTCATCAACTAGTTGTCAACTTTCAGATACAGAAACAGATCTTAGTAGTCCGGATGATGGTGATAAAACAGCAACAGTTGAAAGAAAACTACCGCTTCCATTACCAGTCAAGGAAGAATTAGATCGAGCAGTACCTGCACATCGATTACTTGATAATTCGGCTGGAAAAAGTAAAGCTGAACTTGCTAGTAGAGGAGGACTTGCAAATCGACAACTTCCTAAACGATCTGGTGGTCTTAGTAACAGTAGTTCTGTATGTAATACAATTATTAGTATATGTAGAAAAATTATATATTTATTTAATCATTTAATATTTCAGGATTATGGTTTGGATGAATCAGGTGACAATACTGATGAGGATTCATCTTCTAAATTACTTTCCCAGGATACAAGTAGCAGATCACCAAACGATTTAACATCAAAACAATCAAATTTGAGTTCCTATTCTAGTAGTTCTTCAATTAGTTCATTGAAAAGTAAACATATGGAACCTACGCATCCAACAACAATTCGACAACATAGTACTATTAGTTCACAAGTTAGAGCTATGACAGAACAAAGTTGGCCACAATCTCAAAAAAGTATTTCTTTCTTTTTTCTTTTTTTGAATTTTTGCTATTTTTTGGATATAATTTATATGTAACTTTAAATATAAAATTATTATCAATTCTTCATAGATTTAACTGGACCACCAGCATCATTTGCAGAGCAATTAAAACAAGTTTTAGCGGAAAGAGAAAGACGACTTGGAGGAAATGACATATCTTCATCAAGAGAAAGTTCTGGAGACTTTAGTGATTTAAATAATCCACATTCTAGTGATCCAACTTTAGTTACCCATCATTTAGTGGAAGAAATACGACAAGCTGTAAATGAAGCCAATCAAAGAGGTAAAATATTTTATAATATATCTAATATGTAATTCATTCAAAATAATTTTTTTATGGTGAATTTTTTATTTCTATAGTAAAAAAAGCTACTATTCCTTCATCAAATTTAATTGGTAGCAGTACACCCTGGCATCATCCAGGTAGTTCACCGTCTAGTCTTTCTTCTGGTGGATCAGTGAGCCCACCTGCCATTGATCCTAGTCCATCTAAAACAGGTACTCTAGATATTTATGATACAATGCAAACAATAATTCACAATCTTCTTTTCTTTTTTTTT